CTGCTCAGCCCAGGTTCTGCATTTGAGGAAAAATCCCGTGGGCTCCTCGCACTGGCGCTACGTGTTTTGTCCTCCCGAAAAAAAAAAAAGCCGGAGAGGCGCGCAGCCCGTTGGGCAGCATTGCCAGGTGACTTCTAGAGGTGCGCCCTGCCTGGCTTTGTGCTGCAGCCTCTTAATTGTTCCTTTCATTTGGCAAGCGGTAGGATACAGAAGATTCCACTTCTAAAACGGGGAGCTGCAGCCTGCAGAGAAACCGATTTCCCTTTTTAAAGGTTAACTGCTAAGTTTTGCCACCATCAGTGCAAAATTTCGGTGTCGACGAGGAGATAATCTGCGGCAAGTCTTTTCCATCCGTGTCGTCTGTTACTGCTCTGGTCGCAGCTTCCCGCATCAGCTTTGTCACTTCCCACAAAAGCGGCTGCTCCACTTGGGCTGCTCCAGTCACCGAAAGCCCAGTTTCCTTCTTGGTGCCTGAAATCCCTTGGCTACATGGTAGAAACAGCTGGGACTGATTCATCAAAAAATTCAACCAGAGCTCAAAACCGGTGTCTTTATTAAATCGCTGCTTTCAGCCAGAGCCATAAATAATTTGTTAAAATTACGGGCTCATCGCCCGAATCATGGGAATGCACTTTTATAGGGCAGGATTTCTCGCGTACACGGCTTCTCTGCCTCCCACCAGGAAAACGATCTCCCAGTAGACAGCGAACTCCCACCCTGACGCTCTCATTAAAGCGGAGCCGCGGCCGGGCTGGCTGCCAGGCAGATTCCACCCCAGCTGCTCCGCCACCGAGCGAGCGGGTCGGTCCCCAGCGCTTATCTTTGTGCAGCAGCACGGGCGAGCTGGCAGCCGGGAGAAACAGGCCGCAAAAAAGGCTCACAGACACACCGAACGCAACACGACCAGCATTTTTAAGGGACATCGGGCAGCGTTTGTGCAAAACCTCGCATCTATGAGCCTTCAAATATCACGAAGTCCCACTGATGCTTGCGTTAGAAAATCGTACGGTATAAAGACAGCCAGCTGCCGCATTCCTGGTGCCTGCTACTAAGAATAAACTGGAAGATTGGAGTGAAATAAGATGAAAATAGTGATTGTATCTCTGACTTGGTCAAGAGATTTGAGAACTCAGACAAGCAAGAGGGGAATCCAGAGGAAACCCATCTCCATGAGCTGGAACCCAAGATGACGACGTATGGTCCTGATTTAAATGCGTGCCCTGTTGTTTCGTCTTCCTTCTTTGTACTTTTTGCAGTGACTGTACCCGCCCACTTAGTTTTGCTGTACTTTTTAAAAATCAGCTACGTGAAAGCCACACCAGGTTTGAGTTAATATCTCATAATCTTCAACTTCGTTCCAAATATATTTATGCATTGTTCTAAGCGTTCATGACTTGATAATTGCATTATTTACTTCCAAAGTTCAAAGAATTGGCCTAATGGATTACAATGGACTTCAGCAATCTGATTATGAATTTCACATTAACAGCACTCAGAGCTAGGCTTCCCCCACACGCAGATGCCGTGCAGAATTAAATCTGAAGAGTTAATGATAAACACGACACCACGTTTTTCAAACCACTAAGCTACACCCCTTTCAGCCTTTTCCTCTCTCTGCCAGATTCTTGACCCTCTTCCCTCTAACTAGGAGGTAAAAAGCAGAGGTGAGGGGTGTTGGAACATCGCTAATTTTTAGCTTGCAAACATCTGAGAGAACAGAATCTCCCCCTACCTGGGCAATTGCGATCTGAAGGCCTCTGTTCCCTCTTCAACGGAGATGAAAGGTGCAAATTATCTTTGTGCACGAATGTAGCCCTTTGTTTTTCTTGTCATGCTAAGATCAATCTTTTAGGCTACTGCAGTGCAGACATCCAACACTTAGCCAAAATGAAAGGACAACCGGTGCTTCTGAGAGGACGCAAAGTCCTGGAGCTCCATGGAGAGCATGAACTCCAGTAGTTTTGAGAGCAGAAAAGCCTAAATGCCTCAGACCTGGGGGTGGGAGGGCAAAAGTCAACATCTAGATTTAAACAACTACAACAAAATCTTGGAATACTTACCTTTTATACAAATGTGAGACTTCCCATATGTTGGAACATGGTGTGAAAAACGCATTTAAAAGAGAATGTAGGCTAAAATAAATTGGAGATATGCCCCATCCCTGGAAACATTCAAGGTCAGGTTGGATGGGGCTCTGAGCACCCTGATCTGGTGGAAGATGTCCCTGCTCATGGCAGGGGGATGGACTGGATGGGCTTGAAAGGTCCCTTCCACCCCAAAGCATTCTGTGATTCTATGTTACTAGTCTGCTTACCCACGTAGCAGGGAAATCGAAGGTAAACTTGAACCTTGGAAAGAGCACAGAATTAAGGAAACAGCATTTGACATTGAATTTTAAGATCACTGTTACAGAACACTTTTTTTTCAGTTCAGCTAAAAACGATGAATTAGTCACCTGCTTGAATAGATGAAACCTAAGAAGAAAAGGAGAACCCATGATTTCTTCCATGATTGAAACCAGGAATCAGAGAAAAAAACTACAGGATGATATCAAGAAGAGAAGCCAACTACGGAATGCTCTCATTAGGAGACTGGAAACAGTCGTAGCAGTCGTCTTAAATTTTCAAGTGGTTTTAGGTGTCTGAAATTCTAGGTGAAGAACTTTCCTACAGCCCTTCAGTATTTGATTCTCAGTTGGTGGTAATGCAGAAGGCGAGGGATCTTTGCCTAGTATGTTCTATGAAAGGAGCTCAAGCACAGCACGAAGGAAGCAAAATAGTCATTTGTTCCAGTGCTCCAAAAGAGAGAGAAAGATGCCAAGGTTTTGATACTGAAAATGAAAAAGAAAAAAGTCTGTTTGGTCATCTGTGGCCTGGGAACAAATGATAAATCGTAACTCAAACAGGGATAACCACAGAGCAGCCAAAGCACCGTGAGGAAAAGCAGAGTTTATGCCAGACAGTGGGTTACCACCGGGACCCGGAGGGTTGATCTGCAGGCCCGGGAGGAGCACGAGAGCTTCGCTGCGCTGCCCATCCCTACTGCGCGGCGCCGACAGCAAAGGGTGGCGCTCAGGCCCAAACAGGCGGCCCCCGGGCTCCGCTCTGCCTACCAGGGCACCAGTCGTGACCCGGAGCGCATGGACACCGTTTAAATCAGAAGTCTTTATTGGGACGACAAACAGCAGAAGTACCGGTGAAGTGTAAAATGGAGAGAGGAAAAAAAAAAAAATATGTCATGAGGTAGCTCAACCCATCAAGTACCTGCCCGGTCACAGCTTCGTAAGGACGCGCATCGAGCCCTCTCCGCTGGGAGCTGAACTGAGGATGCCAAGAGAAGTCAGACAGTAACAACTCAGCTGTTACAGGCGCAGGAGGCTTTCAAAGCACTGCCCTGAAGGTGAAATACCAAAACCCAGTTTGTAAGAGCAGTAGCAGTAAGAAAGGATATTTAATTCAAGAATATCTAAAGCAGCTGAGTAGTTTTATGGCTACGAGTCTTTGGACCACAACATATCAGCGCTAAAAAATTAAAACGAAAATCAGAAAAAAAAAAAACAACTTACAGTAATCTCTTATTAGCCCAGACCATGTGAGCCTGCATGTTCATTCGAATAATAAAGAGGAAACAGATCAGCATGAGTTCTCCGGTTTTATTGTAGGAAAGCACATGAGGGGTTGTTATTTACATTAATCTCTGTACAACTGGAAAGCATTTCTTCACCACTTTGTTTACTTTTTTCTTTTTAACCACTGATTTATGAACACAGGTAACATTTGGCTGCCGCACTATAAAGTTTCACACATTAAGTGCTCCTAGAAAACCCTACCGAAGGATCGCTACGAATCCTAGGAGGCTCCTTAGCCCGCTGAAGCCTTGCACAGACACACTTTCCAACAGGAATGCAGGGAATGCCGGAAGGATCACGTTTGTAGCCAGATCCCTCCCGTCCTCCCAGCTCACCGCTGCGGGGAACACCGCCAAGCTGCCCGACTGCTGCGTAACTGAGAGCGTGGTCAGCTACTTCAGCTGATCAGAAAGACTTTGACTGCCAGAACTGCTGCTGAACTGAAAAACCGAACAGATCTTCTCGTCTCGGTAAGATTGGTTCAGGCCAAGATCACCATGCAGAAACAGATGCTGTAAAACTTAGTGGGATGGGGTTAGTAATTTTTCAACCCATGGTATTTAATCGCATCGTTCCTAAAGGCATACAAATGCGCAAGAGACTTGGATTACAATTCAGAGGTGAATACGTTTGACTCCATTTTACGTAAACAGCCAAAAAAAGTAACCTACGGTTTTGTTGCTATAACTCCGTTAAACTCCACGTCCTGCCAACTGAAGTTCTGCTGCTTGCACCAACAGGTTCCGCCTCCCTCCGCACCACAACCTGAGCAACCCGTGCCCTCACCAGGCCGTCGGCACAGCTGGAGGGGATGTAAAATAGCTCAGGATTGAGCCTACGGCAATTGGCAACTGCACTTTGAGATGCAGTTCCTACACAAGAACAATAGCACTTTAGAATTTTTTTTTTTTTTAAACTAAGAATTTAGGTACCAATGCACAAATACAAGTTTTAGACATTAAAAAAAAAAAAAAAAAAAAAGACAAAACCCCCAAAAAACCCCCCACAAAAAACCCCAAACCCCTTAGTTTCATTTCAGAGTACTGTAAAAATAACATGGATTCATGTGCCTAAGCATTTACATAGTAAATACCTCAGTAAATACATAGCAGAAAACCTACAGGCCTTGAAGAGAAACTTTTGATCAGTGAAAACAGAAGATACAACCCAATGAAACGCTACTGGAATGCTGAGAACTGTCTTGATTTTGTTGATCCAATATAGAAACACCGGCATTTTCTTGGAACTACTCTCAACATGCTGAGTAACTCCTCTGTTGCTCTGGCTGCTTCTTCGCAGAGGAGACCAATTGTTCTTCAGCAGCTTAATTTCTATCTTCTTTTTTTTTTTTACACGAGTATAAAACTGTTTGTTTGGTTCACTATCTTGGAACACAGTATATTTCTTTCATCTAACCCAACAATCCCATAAATATATTTCTTTTAGCGATAGACTTCACCGTCTGGCAGGTTTGGGCATTATATAAACTTTGACAGGTTTGCTGAAGGGTATGGTCCCCTCTATGCCGTTCTCGGATTGCGGGAGAGCCTCCAAGCTCTCGCTCCAGGTAGATTTAGGAATTTTAGCAGATGCCTTGCTCCTGTTGGAATTGTAGGCCAGCAGCAACCGCACTTCAATCTGACATGGCTCTGCAGAGAAAAAAAAAAAAAAAAGAACAACCCAAACGCGACTGTTATCACACAGAGAACAGCCAATACTGAATGCAATTTTCTCTCCCGTATGCTGGGTGAGGCACAGAGGCATTCTGGGCTGACCAGGATCCAGTCTGGTGTTTGAAAATACAACTTGGTCGTTACATTGAGAACCAAGCACTGTCCCCCGCCCCTCTGTCATCGCTTAAAAAGAGAATCTCATGACGAACGGACAAATAGCAACTTTCAAAAGTAACTGTTAAAAGTTATTCCAACCAAATAATAAAATCATACAAGACCATATAACTAGCAGGTCTTGCTACCTATATTTTTACGGCAGGATCAAGTAAATCCAGATGATGTCTACAACTGCCTGAAGGGAGGCTGGAGCCAGGGGGGGTCGGTCTCTTCTCTCTTCTCTTCCAGCATACTGGACTACACCCCCATCAAAATTTTCCTTTCTAGACTGAAAACCATGATTCCTTTAGGTTTTCCATATGGACTTATACTGGGTTTGGCTGGGAGAAAGTTAAATTTTCCTTCATAGTAGCTCATATGGTGCTAAGTTTTGGATTTGTGACTAAAACAGTGATGGTAACACAGGAATCTTTTAGCTATTGCTGAACGGTGCAGTACCCACCAGTTTTCTCACTTTTACCCTTCTGATTCTCTTCCCCATCCCACCGCAGGGAGCAAGTGATCGAGTGAATTATATTTATCGCTCCCCTCCTCAGCTGGACAGGGGAGAGAAGAGCGGCTTAGGGGGCACCTGGCATCCAGCCAGGGTCAACCCACCACAAGCCCCCAACGAGCACCTTCTCTCCAGCGACAGCATCCCCTCCAGTCACCTACGGAGCAGTAGCGCCCCGTCAACCAGGGAGACGTAACCGCTCTAAGGCTGCCGGAACAGGAATCTGAGCAACACTAAGGGTAGCATCGACGACAGCTGGAGATTCCTCAAAGCCCCCAAGACTGTGGGCATGTACGTCTGAGGTGCAGGAGACTGGGATCAAGCAAGACACGTTCTTATCTTAGAAGAGCACGGCAACACAATCACATGAACTTGTATCATTAACGTTACCTGTCCAGGCTGTGTGTGAGAGGTAAACCTGAGTTATCAGCCTGTGCCTTCCGGGACCAGGATTTCGAAAGTCAGCTGGTTTGGGATGGATTAGCTGTGCTTGTCCATCTGGATACAATACCTATAGGAGCAAAATGAAAAAAAAAAAAAAAAAAAAAAAAAGGAAACAACTGAATGACAACTGGACTGGGGATTTGCACAGCGTGTGTTATGGTGGTGTTTTCTGTTTGAGTTCGGCAGGCAGGAAGGTGTGCGCTTTATCTTGGAGCCGGGAGTCCAGCTGCCCTAGATTTAATGGCCACACACTGGCCGTTCAGACCCACAGCACAGGTGGAAAAAGAATACATTGACGTCAGCTTCTTCCTCTGCATGGTAAACAGAGGTTTTCATTTCTTTGTTAGCAGTGAACTTGCATATTTTAATTGGCATCGTGCCACACCTACCTCTTCAGCTGCATTTGAAACTAGTGATTCAGCAGCAGGAAGAAAGTTAAACTGGAAATAGAGGGAGCCGCAAGCTTGCGTATTTCTGTACCATTCAGAACAGCTTCTGTTGCTCCTCCTGCTCCCACTACACAAGCTGGACTTCACCAGCATTTATTGGCGCTCATGTCTGCAACGTGCCCAGAGCACGTGAAAGTGGAGGGTAGCGCGCGTGGAGCACAGAACGGCATCGAAGCGCTCAAAGCAAACTCTCAGGAACTGTACGCAAGTCAACTCAGCGCACTATATGCAAGCCAGTTTCTGAATGCGTGGCTAAACCAGAAATCCAACGCCGTTACTAATAAGGCGTACAATTATTTGCAATTTAGCAGTACTGACATCCTGAAGCAAACTCCCCCTAAGATACAACCTTGTTTGTACTTACGTACTGCTTACCTGAACTTTAACGGTTCCCTGGGGATCCTGCACATGTTCCAGAGTTGCATCAACATCCAGTGCCACTACCAGCCCCGATGTAAACCTCAGAGGATTATCAGATTCACCGGTAGGCTCAATGATATTTGCAGTAGCTTTATGGAGCTATTAGAGGCAAATCAGTTGGCAAAAATAAGGCGGAGGGAGAAGGAGGAAAGAAAAAAAGACAATCATTACTGTTCTTAACGGAGGAATTGTGCGTAAACTTTGGATTCTTTTAAATACTGCCAGGAATTATTAAGTCTTCTATATTTTTAGCAGTAGTCCTGAGGATGCTAGGTAAGAAGGCGGCGGCTTTTGAAGAAATAACACTTGGGACTGACCAAAAACCTGAATCATAAAAGCTTCATGGTATATTAGGAACTTGTCAAATGCCGAGACATTCTGCAAGATTATTGCATTTTAATTCTCTGGGCTAAACTGACCTGCTCTGGAAGAGGAAGGTGGAGGAAGGTACTTTGTCGCAGTGTTGTCTGAAGAATCTTGACCACTTCTGAAGGCTTGGATGTCACGAGTCTGGGCATTAAGTCCAGCAATTTATCGACAAAACTGCCTTGCATATGTGGGAGCTCAGAGATGAAACATCTGTGTTAAGAATAAATTAAAAATCAAACACTTTTTTCAATATTTTCAACAGTATTGTGATTTTCAGCCAAGCTACTTAATCCTTATATTTGGTCATAATGACAGAATTAGATATGTAGATTCCTCTTCTGATGCACATCTCGTACACAAGATAAGGATGATTTTGGCTACTTATGTTGGGACCACACCTTGTGCTCAAACTGACAACATCGAGGGCTATGCAGGATTCACTTCTTTTGTCCTTCATCAACACGTAGCCTAGCAGGCAAAGGAATCTAGATTCCCAGAAAAGGAGCTAGAAATGTCGAGGTGCCCATCAACAACACATTGATGAGAAGCAGATACTGGAGGGATTTGGCTACTCAGATTGCATGTGCAGCTGCAATGCTATTTAGATAGTAAGAGTGCTAATTAGATGAGACTACGGGCAATTCCAGTGCTCTGCATTCAATCTCGATGTCTCGACAAAGAAACGCAGCTGGATGGAAGAGCCATTCCTACTGCAGTTGCCTTGCAAACTTTTGAAACTGGTACTTCTCGGGGAAGACACGCATCTGCCTAATCATTTATGCTGTGCACTTTCATCTGGCTAACTCAACAGCTGACTCATTACGGGATCTAACACGTCCACGCACCCAATACGTGAGTTGTCTGACCTGCTGCTGAAGCAAAGTTTTCAGAACGGTTTTTCTCGACCAATATTTATGAGAGTATTACTTAGTACAGCTGAGGAGGGACATTTTAATAGTAAACTACAATCAGTAGCGGGGGGGAAAAAAAAAGCTAGTTCTAGAGGTCAAGAACAGAGAACAGAATCCATTCTATAGCTTGGGACATCAGCCTCTCACAAGAACAGCATTTGGTGTTTCTTGTTCTTTATATAGAAGTAGAACTGGGCTACTACCCTACATCCCTGCATGCAGAAGATGCTTCGTTAGACTGAGTCCTTGGTGGCTTAGCTGTTATTATCAGCAACATTCCT